ACTACACTCTTAAAATATTCTTAAGTTATATTGTTCAACTTTTTAGAATTTAAATTGATTCTGTTATTCTTTGGAGTGTTACATTTCATGAGTACTACCATAAGTATGATTTCATTTTTTTATAATTCAGATTAAATTATTAACTTAGCTGATACTGACAATAAATATATTAAACTTGAGATTCTTTTTTCATATAGTTAAAAATGCTCTCTAGATCACTGACCCAAAACAAAAAGAAACAAATATACAATAGTTATTCAGGCTATCATTTTTTATGTACCCTTTTAATTTGTTTTAGACACAAGAAACATCTCAAGAAGAGCTACAGTGGTTAACAGAAGAAAACATTGCTTCCATGTAAAGTCAGATGGAACTTATAATTGAAAATCTGGAATTCCAACTCTACAAAGCAAACACTTCACAAGCAGACTATAATACAGCAGAATTGGAAACATATAAGAAACTGCATCTAGAAGAATTAAAAGCTAGAGAATCTCTGTCAGATAAATTAAGCAAGTACGTCAAAGACAGAATCACAGAAAATAAATGAAGATCATTAATTTGCCTCAAAAGCATAATTTTTAGTGAGACAGATTCATAAGATTGGGGGAAGCAAAAGCTAACTAGATTAGACAGTTTTGGAAAATGATGTTAGTAAATGAACTTACTTTTAAAATGTTAGTCTAGGACAATTCATACCACTCCACTGTTTTTTTTGGCGGGGGTTTTTGTTTGTTTGTTTTTCTTTTGTTTTCTGTTTCTTTGAGATGGATTCTCACTCTGTTGCCCAAACTAGAGTGCAGTTAGTGGCATGATCTGGACTCACTGCAACTGTGCCTCCGGAGTTCTAGCAATTCTCCGGCCTCAGACTCCCAAGTATGACCTTTCATGATCTCACCACGCCCAGCTAAGTTTTGTATTTGTAGTAGAGACGGGGTATCATCATGTTGGTCAGGCTGGTAGCAAACTCTTGACCTCAAGTGATCTGCCCACCTTCGCCTCCCACAGTGCTGGGACTACAAGCATGAGCCATCATGCCTGGCCTGATTTTTGGTTTTATATGGTTCCTTTTCCCCTTAATATTCTTATGTAGTTAACCTGATCTATTAATTTTTCTGCCAAGTATCTTGAAGCTTCATAATTTAGACAGTGATACTGTTATACAATTGTTTGTCAGCATTCCTCTATATAGAAATATTAATTAGTTTAATTATTTTTGATAAGATTACAACTTAAACTGAAAAAAGGGTCAGGTACTTCTACTCCTTTGCACATTCTGGCACTCAGTAAATTAACTTTCCTTGATTGCAATCTTTGGTATTATCCTTAGAGGTCACCTTGGAACAAAGTGTTTTGTACAGTTTTTCCACTCCACATAAAGGCATAGTTGTGAAATAGGGAATGGTAAACACAGGGTTGAAAGGAAATATAATTCATAAAGTGGTGAAAAATAACACCTTGGTCAGCCTGAAGCGGTGGCTGGAAGACCAAAAGGGCAGGCCCTACTTCTGATGCCGTGGCCACGATTTTAGGAGCCAAATGCCTTTGGAGATGATTAAGTTCTCTTTGATCTCAGCTGTCTCCTCCTCCCCTGAGAGTTGTTGTTCTGAATGATTCCTTGGTACCAAATGCTTAATTTTTCTCAGATAATGGGTGAAATGTACAAGAGTGTTCAATAGAAATGTGTGAAAATGTCTTTGAGGGCCGGGCGCGGTGGCTCAAGCCTGTAATCCCAGCACTTTGGGAGGCCGAGACGGGCGGATCACGAGGTCAGGAGATCGAGACCATCCTGGCTAACCCGGGGAAACCCCGTCTCTACTAAAAACTACAAAAAACTAGCCGGGCGAGGTGGCGGGCGCCTGCAGTCCCAGCTACTCGGGAGGCTGAGGCAGGAGAATGGCGTGAACCCGGGAGGCGGGGCTTGCAGTGAGCCGAGATCTGGCCACTACACTCCAGCCTGGGCAACAGAGCAAGACTCCGTCTCAAAAAAAAAAAAAAAAAAAAAAAAGAAAATGTCTTTGAGAGACAGTGTGTTTTTTTGTTTGCTGTAACTGGTTTACTAAATACAAGCTTCATTTTATTTATTTTACTGTCCATATTTAAGGAGTAAGACATGATGTTTTAATATATTTATACACAGTCCAATGGTTACTCTGGTCCAGCGAATTAGCATCTTTAACATTTCATGTAGTTACTCTTGAAACACAAGTATTTTTTTCTTTTCTTTTCTTTCTTTCTTTGTTTTTTGAGATGGAATCTCCCTATGTCGCCCAGGCTGGAGTGCAATGGTGGGATCTCGGCTCACTCCAAACTTCTCCTCCCAGATTCAAGCAATTCTCTTGCCTCAGCCTCCCAAGTAGTTGGGATTACAAGCGTCCACCACCACGCCCAGCTAAGTTTTGTATTTTTAGTGGAGACGGGGTTTCTTGCCATGTGGGTCAGGCTGCTCTCCAATTCCTGAACTCAGCTGATCCGCCGTCCTCAGCCTCCCAAAGTGCTGGGTACAGGGGTGAGCAACCACCACACCACCACTGCTGGCCTTTTTTTTTTTTTTTTTTTTTTTTTTGGAGATGGAGTCTTGCTCTGCTCTGTCACTCAGCCTCAAGTGCAGTGGCACAATCTCGGGTCACTGCAACCTCCGCTTCCCAGGTTCAAGCGATTCTCCTGCCTCAACCTCCTGAGTGCTGGAATTACAGGCGCCCAGCACCGCACCCGGCTAATTTTTGTATTTTTAGTAGAGACGGGGTTTCACCATGTTGGGCAGGCTGGTCTCAAACTCCTGATCTCAAATGATCCGCCAGCCTCGGCTTCCCAAAGTGCTAGGATTACAGGTGTGAGCCACCGACCCCGGCCTAAACACAAATATTTCTTTTTGTTTGTTTGTTTGTTTTTGTTTTGAGGCAGAATGTCGCTCTTGTTCCCCAGGCTGTAGTGCAATAGCGCGATTTTGGCGCACCGCATCCTCGGCCTCCAGGGTTCAAGTGTTTCTCCTGCCTCACCCTCCCGAGTAGCTGGCATTACAGGCATGCACCACCAAGTCCAGCAAATTTTTGTATTTTTAGTAGAGACAAGGTTTCTCCGTGTTGATCAAGCTGGTCTCAATCTCCCCACCTCTGGTGATCCTCTGACTCTGCCTCCCAAAGTGCTGGGATTACAGCCATGAGACACTGTGCCTGGGCTAAACACAAATATTTCTAATGGTATCTTTAAGAATCTTATAAGTAGAGCCATTTCAGAAGGCAACAAGTGTGACTTGTTAATCCATACATCATTAATAGCTTTTGCTCTTCCCTCCCTACTTTGTTTGAATTACTTATTTGTTAGAAATCCTCAGAAATATATGTACTTCTTTACAACAACTTTAAAATTATAACTGTATACAGCATATAGGCTCTAATACACTTTCAGAGTTAAAACATGGTTTGTTGTATCTTTCATTGACTCATGGTCACTATTTAAACAACGCAAGTCATTTAGACACATTTGTTAAAAAACAAAATACTCAGTATCTGTCTTTTGCAATCTTCACAGACTAAAGAAATTCTAGCAGATGTCAGTACCAAACTTCTTCAAGAAAATGAGTGGAGCAGATCTTTATTTACTTCTCATACTACAAGGCCAGTCCTAGAGTCACCATGCAATGGAAATCTTAATGATAATTTAGATCTCAACAGAATACATATCCCAAGAGAAACCTTAATGATTCCTACTTCAAGCTCATTGTCTTCAAATATCAGAATGGAGAACGACTTGTCAAAAGTTAGGTATAGTATTTTTTTTCTTTGGTTTCAGACTTCTGATATAGTTCTCTCTATATTTTTGGCAAGATATTGAGTTGTCTAACTGACTCATGCATTTTAAATAAAGGTCTAATTATCTGTGTTTCTAAGGAAAGGAAACAAATCTTACAGCTTTTTTTTTTTTTTAAGTCCCTGGGGTTTTAATTGTCAAAAGATATTCATTTTTTAACTTTACTCAACAAATGTAACTATACCAGCACATTTTAAATTTCTGTAAAAATTGCATTTAAGTTAGATTGTGGAAATGTACTGGTATTGCCTAACAACCAAAGTTATACTTGGAGATGCTTTGGCTTACTTTCTTTTTTTTTTTTTAAGTTCTAGGGTACATGTGCACAACGTGCAGGTTTGTTACATATGCATACATGTGCCTTGTTGGTGTACTACACCCATTAACTCATCATTTACATTGAGTATATCTCCTAATGCTATCCCTCCCCCACCCCCTACCCCGCAACAGTCCCGGTGTGTGATGTTCCCCTTCCTGTGTCCAAGTGTTCTCATTGTTCAATTCCACCTATAAGTGAGAACATGCGGTGTTGATTTTTTTGTCCTTGTCATAGTTTGCTGAGAATGACGGTTTCCAGCTGCATCCATGTCCCTAACAAAGGACATGAACTCATTCTTTTTTCTTACATGATTACATCCTTAATTGCTGTTGTACTTACAGCATTTCATTCAATTGTTGCAAAATGTGCCTGTTGCTGTGCAATTGTACAGTGGTTTTTAAATACTTAAAGCAATATTTGAATTCTTAAAGTGAAGTTCACTTATGTCTATCTTACCATCACTCAAATGATTTATGGCTGAGATGGCAATGATATCAGGAGTAGTTAAATAGCAAATGTGACCAAACAGAATACATTCTGTTCTTTCTACTCAGAATTCCATGTAAAACTGCACAGGGTTCCCAGCTCCCTAGGACATGACACTTTCAAACTTTCAAGGTTCAACTGAACAAGAACTTTTCAATCCAACTGTTAGGGTAGCCAGTTAGTCAGACATTAACAGGCAGGAGGAAAGGTAGCTATGTAGGAAGAAACACCACAGAACAACTCTTAAGATGCTCAGTAATTACTCATTCTATGGTTGAACTGTCAGAATGTGTTAACTACAATCTGATAAAGAAGGGGAAAGGCAAAAGGGGAATTCTTAAGAGCTGTGTGGGCACAATGAGTACAAATTTGAGTGCTATACTACCTTCCTGGGGTGGAGGTAATGAGCAATGCCATCATTGGGTAGAATTTGTCTTGATCACTGGGTTCTGCATATGCACATTAACCAAGAGTAAGGGAGGGTCTGCCAGCCTGGGTGTGAACTGGGCAAGAACAAAGGCAGGAACCTAAAGAAGAAAGTGAGAGAAAAGATCAAATGCAGAATGTATTGAGGCTGTTCCCAGCCAAGTCAGCCCACTCTTCTCTTAAAGCATACTGTTACTTGCACAATAAATGTTTTGCTGGATTTACTAACTGGTGTTTTGGTTGAATTCTTTCTTGCAAAAAGACAAGAACTGAGGACACTTTCTGGAACTCCAGGCTTGGCCATACCTTTTGGTGCTGTGACTTGCATCTTGTCGTGAGGTAGGGACTGTGCTCGCCACTGTCTCCTCTCACATGTCTGCTTCTATGCAGCATAGACTGTGAGAATGCTGAGCATGCTGAGCAATCTCCCTAGCATCTCCACTTTGTGTGTTCAACTAGAGCACTTTCACCTAATGCCCAACAGAGCTCCCCAAGCACAGAATGCTTTTTTCTTGACAGAGAACCTAAGGCTTCTGATTACTTCCATATTCTCACAACTGACCTCTGGGGACTCACCACCCTGTCTTCACAGTTGCTCCTGCTGCCCGTGCCATCATGGCATCTCTCTTGCTAGCCAATGCCACCTCCTTTGCCCTGTCTCTTCCCAGGTAGGCCCCAGTAGAATGGCTTTTTGCATGCTCTGTCACCACTCCTCTGCACTAATTCCACCTCCAGATGGAATGTAGGTAAATTTTAGGTGCTATGGTCTAGGTTTAGGGGTCTCCTTGGATGTACCTAGTACCCAATTTTCTCTCCATGTTCTTACCACTGAATTCTCAGGGATTTAACAATCAACTTCCCTCTTGCTTCTAGCCCTCCCCACTGTCTTTGACATGCTTTGCCTGTATGCAGAGGATTATCACTGAAGGCTACAAATTATAATTGGGCAGAGTCATCTATAATTAGATGCAAGACCTATGGACCTAGGGGGTCCACAGACCAAATGAGGGGAAGAGGTCACTGCTCGGTTGGGAGCATATAGTAAGGGTGCACGAAATCTGAAGCTCTTCACAGACTAGGGATACCTGGTCTAGTGTGGGAAAGGGATGGAAAGGGTGCTCTCTCCCTTTTACAATGGATGAGAATGGACAGAGAGCGAGGATGCTCACATTCCCCTAGTTTTTTCTTCTCTCTGTTTTTCAGATTGCCCATCTCCACACTGTAGGATTTTCCCCTTGGATGCATTCTCAACAGTTAGGACAAGTCTGATCCCCAGACATTGAAGAAAACTATATTAGTTTTCCTTTGCAATGCTTCATAGCCTCAATGCAAACTATATGACTAGGAAGACTGGCCAGAAAATGGTAGCCCTAATTTTAACACCATTTTGCAGTTGGACCTACTTTGCAGGTGACAGGGAAAATGGTCAGAGGTGCCCTGTATCCAGGTCATTATGGCTCTAAAAGAAGACCAGGATCTCTGCCAAAAATGCAGATGGGACTCTGCCATCTTGGCTCTCATGAACCCCTCAGCAGATAATTCTCCCATAAATGTCTTAGGAAATTTCCCAGCAGAGCATCCTCAGCTTCCTTTAATCCTCCCACTGAGGATCCAAAGCCACCAGCTCCTTGTTCTCACCAGAGGAATAGGAATGGGCACTGGGACATGAGGCTCTGGAAGCTGGTATCAATTGGGAGAAGTTCTTCATCTACCTTAAAATGTTCAATGGACAGTTAACTATGCTTTGCATGACTCTTGCCACTTTTGCAAGAAACAGCTTTCAATAATGTGCAAATGGTTCTTTTGGGAAAAAAAATATTTCCAAGACTATAGAACAAGTTTGTAGGGCCTGTGCCCTTTGCACATTAAACATTTTGCACATTAAACAAGGAAGCAAACCTCCTTTTCTTTTCCAGCCAGTCCAGTGGAGGGTCACTTATCCTGGGGAGGACTGGCCGCTTGACTTCACCCAACTTCTTGCCTGTCAGGGATATAAATATCTTCTGGTCTTTGTAGACATATTTACAGGTTGGATATAAGCTTACTCCTTGTGAATGGAAAAAGCAATGGGGTAGTATAGGCCCTTCTCAAGGAGGTCATCCCTGGTTTGGCATCCCCAGGTGCTGCAAAGTAATTATAGTTCATCCTTCACTTCACAGGTTACTCAACTTGTTTCCCAGGCCTTGGGAATCAGTTACTTTCTAAATTCCTCCTGGCACCCACAACACTGTGGAATGGTTGACAGAATTAACAAATCTCTCAAGCAAATCTTGGAAAAATTATGCCAGGAAACTTCAAAGCCATAACCAAAACAACTACCTATTGCTCTACTAAGGGTGAGAAACATACCCATCTCTAGCTTACAACTCAGTTATTTTGAGTTATTATGTGGAAGACCCTTTCTTCACTTTCCTATTGGATACTGACCTTACCAATTCTAATTATGTTAATTCCTTCTCGCAGTTTCAGCTGGTGGCTCAAAAACTAGGCCAAAATATATTTCACACCCTGAAAACTCTGACCAAATTTTAAATCCACCTGTACTCAAGTTCTCATCAAGATTTGGAAGGATGGAACTCCAGACTCTCAACTGAGTCTTATTTGGAGAGGTCTTTACACTGTTTTACTCTCCACTCCTATCACAGTTATGGTGCCAGGGATCACCAAGTGGATCCACTATTCCAAGGTAAAGCTATATGATGCATCTCTGGCAGAGGAAGTCCTAGAGGTGCCATTGGACACCTGGACCACTTGTCCCCTCCAGGGTCTCAAACTCCTCTTCAAGCAAAGCCAAAAGAATAAACATAAGTAAATTAGTAATGCTTTGGCCTGTTATACAATGAGTCATAATACTCCTTGTAGGTTTACTAATATGTCTTTGCTACTGTGAACCAACACACTCTCCAAGAAAAGGTCTGTTCTGTACTACCTGGATTTAAATCTCAAAGTCATAATCTGGGTGGCATTCTCTAATACTCACTGAGTTAACAGCTTCTGTTTCCATAATCAAGAGACATCCTGATTTGACTTTAATCTGTTCTCTTTGGGAACATGCAACTCAGTGCTCTATGCTCACTAATGCTTCTAGCTAAAATCACCCTCATAGGCCCCAGCAGCCCACAACCACAACAAAAGACTCTACAGTAGCTCAACAACTACTAAAGTTCACCAAATCTTCCTGTGCCTCATCCTGAGGTTATAAATGAATTCTTTCCACCCAGGGCAGGAACAGGCTCCCCAGCCATGATACAAGCATAGGCAACTATTCAAGCCCAATTTAAATTCACCTATCATTGGGACCCCTGTATACAAAGCCTTCCAAGAGATGTTATATGGTACCTAATACAAGTTAAAGTGGACATTCAAGCCTGGTCTAAGCCACTTGCACTGTTTTAGGCCCCTTATTCTCCCCATTACCCTCATCAGCCAGGCACCCCTAGGCATCACTACTACCAGAGATTCTGGAACTTTTGTGGGTTCTCTTAACCCTGAACACTTCAACACAGCCATCATCATTATTAATATCTCTCATACTTTTTTTCTCTAAAAACTAAAAACTCCAAATTTCAAGTAAGGTTCTTTACCCTACCAAGCCAGTATTGGGTCATGGAAAAATTTCAAATCTTTAACTCCCTTTGGGAGGTTCTTCTCCTTGACATTACTGGACACATGATCCTCTGGGAAGAAGAACCATCCTTCTATTCAAATTAGTCACCTATGTCTGGCTCCTTTGGCAGCTGAATCTTTAGTGACAGAATATCACGTCTCAGGTAGCCAACAAGGATATTGGTCAATGTTTGGAATTGACCTGCCTCCTTCAGTATCCATCCTTGTCTACCTATGACATAACTTTATTTTCTATGTGGGACACAGGCCCACCTCTGTCTCCCTGCAAACTGGACTGGAGCATGCTCTCTGGCTTACCTCACTCCTAACACCCCCATTGTGACCAGTGATGCTTCTCGGCCCTTGCCCTTATTTATGACCTCACACTGGGCCCCCCACCAAACAATTCAATTAATTCCCTTTCTCATCAGGCTTGGCATCACCACAGATGCCACGATGGGAAGAGCCAGCATTGGCACAGATTCCTCAACCTACCACAGCCTGTCTCTAGAATTGACTCAAGAGATAGAAACCACTGCTTGACATGTAACAGAGCTGCAGTGGCAAGTCAAGTGTCTCGCAGCTTTAGTTCTCAAAAGTGGCTGAGTTCTTGACATGTTGGCTGAAGTTCAGGGAGGAATTTGTCTGTGCTTGAAGAAAAGTGTCAATCTGGGTTAAGAAACCAGGGCAGACTCAGGAGCACATTCGAGGTCTCATAAACCAGGCCTCTCACCTTTGGGAAAGGACTACTGAGGGTTGGCTCTCCTGGTTCTGACTCTCACAGTTCCTGCCCTTCCTGGGACCCCTGGCCTCTACCTTCCTTCTTCTCCTTTCTGGGCCTTGCTTCTTGAACCTGCTAACTAGGTTTATCAACCTCTTTCCTACCCTCAAGGACAATCAAATCCTTGCACGTCTCCACTGGACACTGTGGTTCAAACCTTTAGAGATACAGCAACAATCTCTGAAACCTTGTCACCATGATAGCAAGCAAGGCGGGGACCCTGAAGACACTCAACACCCCTTTTTAGCAGAAAGTAGCTACAGAATGACCCCCATCTCATTTTCCAAAAGATTTCTGGGTCCCAACTCCTTGAGGAATAAATGTAAGAGGAGGCAGTTGGTCAGATATGAGCAGGCAGGAGGGGAGGTATCCATGTGGGAAGGAACAGCCCAGAACACCTCTTCAGATGACCAGTACTCACTCTATGGTCAAACTCAAAATGTGGTTAACTAGATCCTGATAAGGAAGGAAAAAGGCAAAAGTAGAATTCCTGAGAGCTGCGCTGGTGCAATGAGTACAAATTTGACTGCTATATGACCTTTCTGGGTGGCAGTAATGAGCAATGTCACTATTGGGTAGGATTTGTATTGATCCCTAGGTCCTGTACATGTGCATTATGCACAGTAAGGAGAAGCAAGACCAGCCAGGCACGGTGGCTCACACCTGTAATCCCAGCACTTTTGGGGCCGACATGGGTGGATCACCAGAGGTCAGGAGTTCAAAACCAGCCTGGCCAACATGGTGAAACCTAGTCTCTACTAAAATAGAAAAAATTAGCCAGGTGTAGTGGCACATGCCTGTAATACTAGCTACTTGGGGAGGCTGAAGCAGGAGACTTGCTTGAACCTAGAGGCAGAGGTTGCAATGAGCTGAGATTGTGCCACTGCACACCAGCCTGGGCAACAAGAGTGAAACCCCATCTCAAAAAAATGATTAATTAAGGAGAAGAAGACCACAGAAGATCACAATGCAGAATGTCCTGGGGCTGTTTCCAGCAGGGTCAGTGCACTCTTGTCTTGGAGTTCACTTTTACTTCTCCCAATAAAACTTTTGCCTGCTTTACTAATTGGTCTTTTTGGTGAATTCTTTCTTCTAAGAAGACAATCAAGAACACTCTGGATCACCGAGATCCATAGTATCACATGTGATTTCCCTCATGGTAGGAGTCCATTTCTGGGGATCTCAAAATGAATCCAATAATGACAAGGTGTATCAATTACAGAGTTGGTAAAGAAGAAAATAGTACAGCTATGCTTGATTAATTTTAAGAATTTTTTCTAAGGTTTGACCATTTTTCAACTAAGGGAAAATTACAAAAGCCAGGTGCAGTGGGACACAAATGAAGTCCCAGCTACTCCAGATGCTGATGCAGGAAGATCACTTGAGCCCAGGAGTTCAAGGTTGTAGCATAAAATGCTGGTGCCTGTGAATAGCCACTGCACTCTAGTACTACAGCCTGAGCAACACAGTGTGACCCTGTCTCTTGAAAAGATTACAAAAATTATACGGTATTTGTTTCAACAAAATAAATAAGCAAATTGTAACTAGTTTCTTGTGTCTTATTTTTATTAGAAAATTCAGTCAATGCACTTTGGCTTATCATTTGGATGCTGTTTTTGTGAGCTCCTTAATGCACAGAAAAGTAATAATAAACCCATGATAAATGAAGCCTCAACCTTTTTTCTTTACCTGGGTTCATGTCTTAACCCATAGAAGAGCAAATCTAAAGTTTTCAAGAAATGACTGCAGCCAAATAGCTTAAAAGAGAACAAATTCAATGATTGTTTTAATACATAAATTACAAAATCCTAGATACCTGATTTTAAAAATCATATTGTTAGTTTTGTTTTATTTCTCTACAAAAAAAGATGATGAGAGTCTAAGTGCTTCATAGTCATAAAATTGTGCCACTGGGCACAAAAAAATGAAAAATACTTCTGTAAACTGTATAATATGATGAAAATAAAAATGTTCTCATTAGTTTTTACCAGAAAAATCAGGTAATATATCATTTTACAAGAAAATGCAGATGTGATGCCAGGGAAGATTTTTGAGGGAAGGAGTATTGATTTTTATATTTCTACATAACTTGAAAAATAGTTTATTTTAAATTTAATGTAGTAGTTCCAAGGTAGACTTAGTTCCCTTGTGAGACATTGGTTTGCCAAATCATGTTAGACTTAATAAAAGGGATTAAAAATGATTCCATTAAGATACAAATAATCACTACAAGATGCCTTGAGTTTTAATAGAGTTGTCATCTACAAAAATCTTAAGAAAGCAGATGCGTTCTAGAGTTGCCAGAAAGTATAAGTTGATATCAAACAGTGATGAACTTTCTGAATGCCTCTTCCATATTGGATTTTAATATGATACCATTTTCAAACAGTTAAAAGCCATTTTCTCATTTCACATTGAGCTAAAGGATGGCATAACAACAAGCAAGCTCAATGAAAATATCCAGAGAGTAATGTATAAATATCATATCCATCCAGTGCTGTTAGACTGTTTTTTGCAAATGGCATTTGTCATGGCCAGAAGACTCAGAAAGATAGAAGGAAAAGGTGTTTTTCCACCAAAGATGGGCAAATTGATAGTTTTCAAAAATCTGGAAAGGGAAATGAATATGTCCATAAAGGTAATCAAATCTATTTACAGAAAACCACTTTGAAGTTTATGAGTTCTTTACAAGCAAATATGGTTCCATTTTATCAAGACCTGAGCAGTTCATATATAGTAAGCAACCACAATCTAACGATAACTGGCTTCAATAAAACATTTGGAAGCAAATGTTACCATTCAGGTATTTGGAAACCCTAGTGAGGTGCTTCCATGAAAAGTTCTAGGCAACACATCTGAAATAGCTAAATATTTGCCTTATGACTCCAAGTATATTGGGTTTCAGGGATGAGAAACAAGTCCACATTCTCAGATGAGAGTAGGTGATATGATGAAAATGAAATCAAGGACTTTCCTTATATTCTATTCATGTGGAGAATTCAAAAACTAAATGAAGAGATCCCAGGAACACTTCTTCACGAGACATTTTTCAACTTAGTTTGGCCTTAAAAGACCAAAATGTTGAATATTCTGTGACAGTGCTCACTTACAGAGCAATAAGAAATGTGGATTACCGAGATTCCACCTCTGGGGACAGGGCACAGCTAAACAACAACAACACAACAACAAAGCAGCAGAAACCTCTGCAGACGCAAACGACTCTGTCTGACAGTTTTGAAGAGAGCATGGATCTCCCAACACAGAGGTTGAGATCTGAGACGGACAGACCATCTGCTCAAGTGGGTCCCTGACCCCTGAGTAGCCTAACTGGGAGACATCCCCCACTAGGGGCAGACTAAACCCCACACCTCACATGGTGGAGTACACCCCTGAGAGGAAGCTTCCAAAGCAAGAATCAGACAGGTACACTCACTGTTCAGCAATATTCTGTCTTCTGCAGCCTCTGCTGCTGATACCCAGGCAAACAGGGTCTGGAGTGGACCGCAAGCAATCTCCAACAGACCTCAGCTGAGGGTCCTGACTGTTAGAAGGAAAACTAACAAACAGGAAGGACACCCACACCAAAACCCCATCAGTACGTCACCATCATCAAAGACCAGAGGCAGATAAAACCACAAAGATGGGGAAAAGCAAGGCAGAAAAGCTTAAATTCAAAAAATAAGAGCGCATCTCCCCCTGCAAAGGAACGCAGCTCATCACCAGCAACGGATCAAAGTTGGATGGAGAATAACTTTGATGAGATGAGAGAAGAAGGCTTCAGTCCATCAAACTTCTCAGAGCTAAAGGAGGAATTATGTACCCAGCGCAAAGAAACTAAAAATCTTGAAAAAAAAGTGGAAGAATTGATGACTAGAAAATTATGCAGAGAAGGCCATAAACAAACTGAAGAGATGAAAACCATGACACGAGAATACGTGACAAATGCACAAGCTTCAGTAACCGACTCGATCAACTGGAAGAAAGAGTATCAGCGATTGAGGATCAAATGAATGAAATGAAGTGAGAAGAAAACCAAAAGAAAAAAGAAGAAAAGAAATGAACAAAGCCTGCAAGAAGATGGGATTATGTAAAAAGACCAAATCTACATCTGATTGGGGTGCCTGAAAGTGCAGGGGAAAATGGAACCAAGTTGGAAAACACTCTGCAGGATATCATCCAGGAGAACTTCCCCAACCTAGTGGGCAGGCCAACATTCAAATCCAGGAAATACAGAGAACGCCACAAAGATACTCCTCAAGAAGAGCAACTCCAAGACACATAATTGCCAGATTCGCCAAAATTGAAATGAAGGAAAAAATCTTAAGGGCAGCCAGAGAGAAAGGTAGGTTACACACAAAGGGAAGCCCATGAGACTAATAGCAGATATCTCGGCAGAAACTCTACAAGCCAGAAGAGAGTGGGGGCCAATATTCAACATTCTTAAAGAAAAGAATTTTAAACCTATAATTTCATATCCAGCCAAACTAAGTTTCATAAGT